ATGTACAAGTTCTTGTTATCGTTCGTGGTGTTGAACTACCTCACTGGTCGAACTGGTCTGGCTTGTGCGATCTGTCACGATGGTTGTGCTCATCGTGGTCATTGCAAATCACTGTTGTCTTCCAGTGCACGATGCTCGTTTTCGCTACCTTCAGGATTTCTGATCCATCCTTTCTTCACCATGAACGGCACTATCAAGATGTTATTGTAGACGATCATTCCGATTAGCAGGACAACGAAACCTCCCAGCGTGATAAAGCTAGAAGCTTGGAAGGTCGGTGGGTTTGGCAACATAAACGATGTAACCCAGATGACAATTGTTCGTACAGAATCGAGCACCATACGCGTTGTAGCCGACATTTCTTTTGTCACTGAAATACCGGCGAAATTGAAGAAACTGATCGAGATCATCGTACCGAAGAAACCGCCAGAAACTGCGCCACTCTGTATAATCTGATACAGGCCATCAACTGAGTCTTCAAATGGCGCGCCGTTCGGCTTGATGAAATACATGGGGATGAGCAGAAGGCCGAGTGTGCACATTCCAAACAGGCCCTCCCAACCGACAGCTTGCAACGCAGGTACATTGTTCTTTGAAACAAATTTCTCTTCAAGAACCATTTGAATGGCGACATTAATCTGTGCAAGAACGATAATCAGATCGCCTGTGATAATTTCTGTCGTCGTATAATCTCCGTGAGCCACTGTTCTCATATCAGCTAGGGCCAGGACGACAAGGCCTGCTAGGACTAGAAGAATGCCGGCCCACTTGTAGGCGTACGATTTTCGTTTCAAAAAGATAATTGAAAAGATTTCTGTAAAGACTATGACAGCACCTCGGAACATCTGAAACGATGCAGGATAGGTCATAATTAGGCCGACGTACATTAGCGAAGTTCCAATCATATCACAGAATGCCGGCGCATAGAAAATTAACGGGTTGAAGTCCTGATTGCCCTGAAAGATCTCAGACATTGCATCTTTGGGGGTACCTTTCTTCTGGTAGACAAACATCATCAGTTTGAAAAACAGCAAGCATGAAAACTCTCCGATAAACATGCCCGTGGCCTGTAAGAATGGATGCTCAAAATTGTGCTTTGCGTCAGTCGGGTGTAGAGTGCCATTTTTAAAATAGGTTCCATTCGGTCTACCGTAAGCTGGCGTGTTACTAGCAAATTTTGCTGCTAACGTATTGATCGACCCGGTAACAACTAACATGGCAGCCAAGAACAGTTGGTACTTAGTCCATGCCATGGCTTAGTTCCCTCGAGGTGTCCCTTTTTCTCACCTAAATACTATTCCGTGAGACACACTAGTATACACTGTGCCTAGCGTAGAGAACACAAGCTGACTGCTCGATGGATAGCTGGCACTCGCCTCGCGTAGCACCTCCTTGGAGCACTCTCGGTACATAACACCACTCGTCCCACCAGCTCTGCATCTATCCCGTCTGCAACAAAACTTTTTAGCGGCATCGACTATGCCCTAAGTAATATCTTTCCTTCTCAGAAAAAAAGGAACAATGGCCTACTAGGTTCAACTAAGATTTCTATCGAATCACTAATTTTTCGCAGTCGTACGTTGTGGCCCCTTCTAAGTTTTGTGCCTTAATGGATTAACGCGCTCTGATAGCGATGGTTATTATATCGCTATAATTTGTCAGTTGCAACAGGAAGGCACCTTGAGAGTCCGTAGTGTGTTGTCACCAATAGCTTTATACCTCTTTCGGTTTAAGTGGGATAGATGTTTTTGTTAGAATTTTTTATCTGGGTTGATACCACTTGCGAGCCATGAGCGGCTAAAACGGTGGAGTAATGGCGTTGGCTTAAAATCAAATGTTTCCCTACGGGGAGCATCTAAGTTGTTTTAGCTAAAAAAAAGCATACGCTTACTTTTCAACAAAATCTATCATTGCGTATCACGTGGCAATAAAGAAAGGTTGAACTGCAGTCCCGTATGGGAAAGTGTGCAGTATTGTACACTACACTCGTGTGCTTATATGAAGGATGTATAGTCGACTGAAGTTTAGTTGAACTTTGGGTATCTAAGCCTGCAGCGGGACAATCATAGTACGACGTACGTCATTCGAATCAGTATCGCATAGGTACAAACGATTAGAACCTAGCTGTCAACAAAGCCCTATATCTATACACATGGTAAGTCTTTTAAATCGGAGTATATGGGCCTAACATATCAAAATCGCTTGTAAACCTATTGTTGAGGAGATCGTAAAGTTGTATAGCGAGAAGTTCTCGACCGGTCATGGGATCGTGGGTTGGCGCACCTTCAACCCGTTTCCGGTTATTAGTAGAAGGACCGTTTCCGTATGCGTGATATCTTGATCTCGTAGTCGAGCCAGCAGCTACTCACGGCGTCAACGTCTTTGTCGATAGACAACGAGAGCTTCAGTGAAACGGTTGCATACCATGTCGAGCTGATACCTGCAGGACTTTCACTGATGAGGCAAATTGACACATCGGCTCAACGACGTAAAAAAGCCCAACGCATTGTCCAAAAGATAGTACATAAAACTCTACGCATAAATATGTAGGGGCATCGAATTTCAGAAGTGCTCACGTTGCCGTCACTGGTGTGCCAACCTACTTTCGACTGTAGCGTACCATATATACGGACGTGCACTTATGAGAATTTCTCAACGAAGGCAATGTTTTTGCGGCTTTTTTGGCAAAATGTTTATCCGTAAACCTTCTGATTGCTATAATTCAATATAGAGCTATACCGTTGTAGAAGATCCACCGCAGAAAAAATTATGGAATACTTTTTAATACATGTATCGATCAACATATTTTCCTAGTACGTCGGAAACTAACTATTCCAAATGAGCAATTAACAAACCTTAAAATTTTTTAACACAATGCTATTTTAGGTCGTTCATCAAAATCTATTTCGTACCTTGCGTCATTTTAGATATAATTATTCTGTTACAATGTTGAAATCTCTAATTATGCTGCTCAAAGCTCCACGGCGAGGCAGGGGGGCAGATATTCTAGCGCATTGTGATACTGGACGAATGCTACGGCTATTTCACAATTTCTTGGATTAGTTCACTGAACCTATTTAAGGCTGCGCAGCCACCAATTAATGAGAACTGCTTCCAATTTCCATGTACGTATTTACCGTCGACCCAGCGAGCAGTGCCAGCGCTTGGCTTTGACGTTACTTTCGGTCCAAAAATCATCCCATTTCATTTCCAGGGATTTATTATTTTTATACGGCTTGAAATCTTTTCGATGTATCAATGTTTCAATTGGCTCGACCTGTTGTAGCCAGCATTTCAAATTAGTATTTCTCATATGGCTAATGGGCGAAATTCAATGGATGCTGGCTTAACCTGGTAGTGACCTGTCAGGCTGCAATAACCAGACATCTCCGGGGCTCCCTAAACGAATTGCTGGAGACGCAATAGCTGAACTGATTCTGATACTGTTCGGCCGCTACTAAATTGTTCGACTGTGTCCCGATACCCACTAGGTGTATATGATGAAGTATCTATAAAAACCATTTAACTAACTAAATTTGTTACGCCACTGGTTACAACAAGTTGAAGAGGCGATCTGACCTCGTAGAAGTGGCTAGACGCAGGACAACCGCAAAAAACAGCACCTAAATAGAAACAGAGATAAGACGAACCCTAAGGTTAGCTCGAGTGTTCGTTATTAGACCACGGTAGAATACCTAAACTGTTGTCGACGCTGTTCTATGTCAACATCAAATCTCAGTATTTACGATAAACATACATGCATATTGTTATAATCTCTTGATCTTGTTATGTAGGTCTGTGCCTTAACGCCATTTGTCAGAACGCTTCTATTCAATAAATAGGAAAATTGAAAAAGTCGAAGATTTTGATAGAATCAAAAGCACGACTGATTCTTTCCACCTGCAAAGTCCGGCACTCAACATAGCCTCTTTGCAAACGTAGTACAATACAAAAATAAATAATAGAAATATTGCTGAAAAGTTCGTATTTAACTTCCTCGACCAAGTTGCTCATTTTTGCAAACTAGAGTTTCAAATTCAGGCTCTGCTAACAACCGCGATAATTAAATCCATATAGTCATAACTGATATAGGACATCATCCGCAATGCGAGTTCACTGTGAAGTGTCGCTCGAGTGTAACGTGGACTACGCCAGCCACGCTGGACCTCGTGACCGATTGCCAATTACGGATCGGCCCAGGGATTAATTATTTAGAATGGTCTTAAATCCTATAACGTGCGAGCCCTACAAACGATAAGACTAAACTCGTTAATCCTGACGTTGAACCCTCGGTCGGCAATCGAGGAAAAAATTTGTGATCAACATTGTGTTTCTAATAACTATTAAACGAAATCTTTATCGTTTTAATTATTTCCAGACTCAATAATGCAACTACGATATACGAATAGTACTATTTGTAGTAATACTAATATAAATGGCAGCCTATCGAATTTTTTGCCAATATGGCGAAGCATACTGAACGTCTATTTTATACTACGCTGTCTAAATAAATAGATACAAAGACAAACATTGACACGGGCACAAACTGTGACATCAACTAGCCCATACAAGAAACATAGCTATGCTAAACGTGACGTTTATAAGTATCGGTGGTAAATACATGTGTGGTTTGATTTAGTACATTCAATTGCTATATATAAATATATATATATATATATATATATATATATATATATACTAATGAGATATGTGTTTACCACAGGATCGGTAACAAGGTTTAATGCAGTGTCTCTGGTTCGAATAGCTGTAGGGGTTCGAATAGGGTGGGGGGAACTTGTCAGAATAAAACCCCTGAACTGTAAAAAAATAGCTATTGATGGAACAATGACTTTTGGACCGATATCAGTTTAGCACCACACAAAGGAGTAAATCCTCTAGAAGGGAATTGCTATGGGAATGAGTGATACGTTATCTCGTCTATGTCAGAGACAACGACAGGAGCGATTAACGTGCCCAGAATGTTAAGTCTGAACCAAACCGATATTGAACAATCGACCAACAGCAGTGCACCGCGGCACTACAGGACGTTACTCGAGACAATCATATAATTTAAAATCTGACGAAGCCAACCTGGTATGGTTTTCAATGTGTAAATATTTGAAGTTTTTCAATAGTCAGCCCCGTGATATTGCTGTTTCGTGTTGATATCTTATTCGCATCTCCGTATTCGATCTCCCAAGCCAGCGCAGCCGTCACTGAGTTCCGTTTGTGCAAGTGCGTTCTAATTCGACTTAGGAAGGTAGTCAGTCTGATCTAGTGTTAAACGGCCCTTAAATCGTAATATACATGAGATGACGAAGTTGGTTGCACCGTGAAACTCGCCGATGGTCGCAGCAGGCGAAGTGGCCAAAGTGCCCGGGTGCAAAGCACATCCATGTACGAATTTGGCTGAACCATCACCCGTCGGCAAAAAGCGGAAGGGGCCGGTCACTGCTACCATTGAACGAGGTCCGCCGAATACCAGCGGCCAGGAACGGCCACCAAATGTGGTGATCACAATTCATCAGGGGGGAAATCAGGGGGCACGAGGACATGTGCGAGTTGAGGGCGGTGGACTGTACATCGTCAAAGCTAAACTCTACCACGATAAAATCAGGTAATAATAATGTGAACCCTCTTTTACTGTGTGAAACATTAAGCGTTGAATGATCATAGCAATAGGAATCAGATACTGAAAGTCGACGAGCACTCGCCATATTTCAGAGTTTGGGCAGGAACACTTTTTTTTTGCCTTTAAACTACATGTAAAAGATGTTCTCAGCATAGCTAGTGTTTATGTACACATAAATAAATATTATGATTACAGCAAATCCACAAAGGAGATCATAACGGGTAATTCTACAAGAAATGAGCAGTAATTTTTTTCTGCGCGATTTGTTCTTCCGTAAACCATTGCAAATTAGATGTAATTGCGTCGTTTTGATAACGTTTTTTTTTCAGGTACATCGTTGCATCGGAAGAAAGACGCTTTTATAGGGAAGTAGACGTAAAGATGATCGACTCCTCAGAACCTGCAAAAATGACGAGAGTAGTTCTTGAAGGTACCCTGACGCCTTGACTTTGGCAGATTCTATAGGCACAGCTATTATTCTACTGCACAGTTCAAAATGACCCATGTACAATGTACTCTCCGATGTCGCCTTTTCAATAGATCTATTGATATGCATCTCGTTTTAGAATTTTTTTGGTGTATCGTAAAATTCCCCCCCCCCCCCCCACCCCCACTGATGGTACCATTCAACCTACAAGAATAAACATTCTGCATTAGTCCATATATATAAATGACTGAAATAAAACACAAACACATGATCCCGATACAATACACAACCTATGTCAACGAATATAATGGCGCAGCTTATAACCCGTGCGTTTTGTTTGGGCCATAGCAAATAACGAATACATAGAGGAGTTCGTAGACCAGCAGCTCGCCTGAAAACACTAGAACGGCGTATCACCATCCATGGAACGCGCATCTCTTGCGCATCTATTGAACCTGCAGGTGCCTCGGGCGTGTCCTATGGGTCTATAGCATCTGTACATTGCAGATGGTCACAACGGAGAGAAGAGACCAGTTTAGCGTTATTCGTTAGAGAGGTTTCGTTACGATGTTAAACGCAAGGCAGATTGAAGGTTGGCCTTAGAAATAAAGTAAAAATTAATGCATATTGTGGCGCGTACCATTGTTGCCTAGTTCGACGGGATATTGGGTAGTTAAATGCAGATAAACATGCCTGCTTAATTGAATGAAAATTCCAATAAATTTAGACCCGTGTATTGTTTGTAATGCCAAACTCGTAAGACGGGTTTAATGAGGGTATTAAAAGGAATAAAATGACTTCATAAAAATCAGCTTTGTTGCTGGTCGCTTCTACGAGAACTTTAATGATATGGATGCGGTTGTCGGATAAGGCGCCTTGGAAGACCTATTGTTTTAGGCCTGGCGAATTATACGTCATAGCGAAAGCAACAATGTAAATAAAAAAAAACAATGTAAAAAAACAATGTAAACAATGGATAACAATGTAAAAAAAAAAAAGAATTCTAGGAAATGTAATACTGGTGTCTATAGACACCAGTATTACATTTCCTAGAATTCTTGTGTCAGTTTGATCAATTTTATCCTAGTTCACTGCGATTCTAGTGCATCGACTAAAGCCATACTGTCGACTGCTGTAGTTACCGTATTGGCATTAATACAGTTAGATCAGAACTTACCTCTCGTCAACATGGTGGGTGGAACTGAAAAACACTGTTTTTGGTTCTTCTAAGCTGTTACTGTTTGATATTGATCTATAATGATCTGGTTTTTACCAGCCGCACATTCCAAGAGTATGTACGTGAAATCTACGGGACCAGTGTGTCTGTGTGGATGTTTAATGTCCGACACCCAGCGTTTGGGACGAGCTATTGGCTCGAGACTGGCGTCGGTGTTACGACCGTACTTAGCACTGCTGTTGGTTTTATTGTGAGATTGTTCCCCGGATCCGTGAGATCCAAGAGGTTGTCCGCAAGTGCAGTTCTCCTCCCTGCCGCTCCTACGAGACGAAAGATGATGGCGGTGAGTTCCCCTCGTTAGTGATTACTAGTAGTAGTCACGCCCGATCCATTGGCCTTAAGGGCTGTTTTGAGTGTCGACTGTCTGTTCGCGCATACGTAAGTGGATAGAGGACTACGTCTGTGATGAAAAAGTTTCGGCACGCTCTGTCTTTTTCCTTTTCTACGTTTTCTTCCTTCATCTGTCTTTGGTCTAGTTTAAGCAGCAGCAGCAGCATTCGGTAGCCGTTTACACTTGTAGTTCGCCGGTTCTCCAATTCTCCGCCTGCCCTGACCGTGCTCAGCGGCTTCGACCACAGCTCTCACTGAGTTTGATCAGATCTAAACTTGTTTGCGGTCTACTGCGGGAGGGCGGCTTTGATCCATGTGGGTCTATGGCTCCGTCGAAAAGAACAGCAGCTATGTGTACCACAAGGTACTACCGCTATCATTATTACCAATGCTACAACATCTGAAGCCATGTACACACGCACACACACACACCGGTACAGAGACTTGTAGACGATCGTATACGACGTCGTTCGCGTCGAACCGTATACGTTACTTTGGCCGACGCGCGGAGTTTGCTCATTTGCTCTGCGCTGCAGCAGGCGAACGAGCCCTGCCGTTTGCTGTAACTACTATAACAAAAAAAAGGCAAAAGCACTGGATAGCCTTATCGTTTTCTCATCATCCTCTATTTCGGCACGGCCCTTTTTTTGCAAGTATTTCCTAAGTTTCAACTTACTCGAGAGTGAGCTGTTAGCGATGGCTGTATTGACGGTTGCAACGGCAAACCCCGCGTGTGCTTTCTTCGGGTGATGGTCGTAACTGGCCGGTCCTCCAGTTAGCGTTTGCGTCGTTGGAATACTGCTCCCCTTTGCGCGAAAAGTAGAACTGGCAGAATAAGAATGTGGTGGTGGTGGTGGGCTGGGCCGTAAACGTATTACAGGCTGGAGGCGGGCGCCAAACGCCATTCGCCGCTACAAGCCCGTACTAAAGCCAGGTAGAACAGCGACGGCTCGTACATCTCTAACGGGTAAAACAGAAGAAGAAAGGGTGTGTAAGGGCGAAAGCAAACGAGCGTAAAAATTCCGAGCATTCATTGCTTTAATGAAACTAGCAGTTCCGTTGGCCGGCTGCGTTCTAGTTGGCCCTCCACATCCATGACCATGGTTCTCCAAAGCAGTGCCGATGCAAAAGAACTCTAGCACGCTGGCAGTATTATGCCAGCACGTATTACTCTGCTGAGCTCCGGAACGTTGACAGAGGTAAAACTCCGCTTTGCCGAACGGAGAAGCATCGGTCATCAAGAGAACTGGCTCTACCATTCGTTACTCATTGTTCTCCCATTTCTCCCGCAACATGGGTTATCAAGCCCATTGGCCGGCGAGGAGAAAAGCTCGCCAGAGCGATGAGAAGCAAAGGAGCCTAGCCGTGACAATATTAGACGTTCTGGCATTACATTTTTTTCTAGCTTTTCGTCCACAGCAGTACTATATCAACACTGGTAGTAGTAGTTGACGGTATTGAAGGGAATCGTGTGAGCATATCCATGGAGCTTGATTCTACGACTTTTGCGAATACTTAGTGTTGGAAGTTAGGAAGTGCTCTTCGGCCAGAGTAACATACCGTCCACGAAAAACTGATGCCCAACGGGACGACACGGTATAGATTTACTATGCTGAGAGCCGTGTATACGGTGAGGTTATTTTGTGCCCGGACCACCGGGACCAACCTGATAGGTTTGATGTGGTCTGAACTAAGCTAACCACGGTGAAGCACCAGGCGTACGCAAGCTCAAGTGCTTAGCAGTCGTCCCAACATCGTACGCATTTAACTTAGTAAAAAGATATAACACATTGTTCGTTAGCGTGGCTCGAACCAAAATTATACCGTCGAGAATCGTTGTTACGATTAGGTATTTGTGTCAGCGTATGCATTATACACAAACTATAGTACACACACTGGAAACGGCAATATCTGCATGCCTCCACTGTTATTCTTTTCTGTGTCGGTAACACTTGCTTCAATGTCAGTTCATTATTATCAGTTGGATCTATCTTTTCTAACAGATGAAGGTTTAGCCCCAGAAGATTGCTTTTTTCGTCCTTTCCTTCAAGCTCCACATGTTTTCCCTGACTCGCGTTTCCAGCATTCCGATGAAGTGTGCCCTGATAATGGCAGACTGATAGCTCCAACGTCCCGTTTTTACGTAGGCGACGCAGCACGAATTTATTCTTCAACGTATGATACGCATATCCTTGTGCGTGATTTAATCCGATCATTCGAAGCGTTAAGTATGACGTGGTTGTACTTCGCTGATTGCTTTCCTTGCCGATGCTCTGTTGTGAGCAACGACTGCTGAAAATTTTTCATTGGTATTCGTCTATGCGCAATACCATCAAGGCTCAGATTCCACGATCAAGGAACCGTACATTTGTATCTGCTGGTACCGATATTATACGCGTGTACTATCACACACACATGAATACGGATACGACGTATAATATACGATCTCGGACGAGATTCACTGCCTGACTACTTGATGATCGTTGCTGATGGATGGAAAGCGACGTTTTGTTAGTTAGATGCCTCTGTCATCTCTTGTCTATGTTGTTTTCCGCTGCCAGTCAGTCACGACCCTCTCACAGCTCAGCGCTGATGCTCCATCGGGGTCGCAAGGCCCTCTCGATCCGAGTAAATGATTCACCTACGCTTTCCATTGGTTCACTACATATGTAGCTGCCATATCACAGATCGTGTCCTTGTTTACGGTTCAGGTGAGCGACTGCATAGGACTGTACTCTTGATCTAGCCGGTCCGAGGGACGGAGAGTGCAGAAAATCTGTTCATTTGTGAATCTATTTGTATCTATATACCTATGTATGGGCTGGAAGCATCTTCTTTCTATTGGTTAGAAAGCTGGCAAAGGTAGTACCTCCGTATAGTTCTAGGCATCGAGATAGGCTACCTTGGTACCGTGTTGTCAACCAGTGGCGTATCGTTGGCTCGCACACGTTAAATGTGACGTTTATCTACGATATCTAACAATACAAAAATGCTGCTCCACGTTCAGCAGATTTATCGACACAACTTATATGTTTGGTTGTACACGAAAACAACCTGTTCGTCGTGATAAGCAAATAACATTATTCAGTCATAAGTAAAATCGACAGATTTATTTGAATCCTTTTTGCTAGAGGCTTATAATTACCGACATAATATCTCAGAAATACGCTTTCTTTGCTGCACAGATTTTAATAGTCCTTTTTCTTTGATGAATATTACGCATCGCCTTGACTCTCCTTTCGTGTAAGCCTTCTGTTGATCTTCTATAGGCCTACAAAGATTCGCAAACACACAAACAACTTAGACATGACCCACAAATACGATCAAGTTTGAAAAGGCCGCCGACCCACATACAGACATACCGCCGTCGACGAGTGGCAGTGTTAATACGAGTCTACTATTAGCCGAGTGAAGAAAACTTATGGTAACTGGACGGAGAAAATACTGTAAATAGACAGATACCGAAAAAAGGAGGCAAAGGCCGCTGCTGCTGTAAATGATGTTGGCTTGAACTTGTACGGAGGTGAAGGTTCTGACAAGTAAACAAATATCCAAAAAAGAACGAAGCCATAAAGACGAGGAGCTCAGTAAGGAGCAGCACAGACAAACCACACAGGACTTTCACATTTCAAATAGCTCATAACTTGGACTCCCTCCTAGGTCTCCATATAAACTGCTCAGAGCTCCTTGTTCCATATAAGCGTTCAATGTACAGGGCTCATGCTGTTCTCCCCTGCTGGTGCAGCAGCGTCCTCAATCACCTGCCTCCGCCTTGTTCGCCTCTTATAGTCCTTACCCTCCGGCTGTTCTCGCTCAAAGTCTGCCTTTTTCACTCCTTGCTCCTAGGTTCGGCTCTTTCCAATAATGCCAATGCCAGATGTCAGGCATTGCATGCTCGTAGCCCTGTTTCTCTTCTCCAGTCGTTGCCTCTGTTAGGCTGAGTTTCTTCACTTCGTCCACAAATTGTCCCCCTTTCGTGAGCAACTGACCCGAGCTTCTCGTTGTTCGCCGCTCGAATCGGAGCTCATCCAGTGCCCGGGTTTTTTGAAAGAACGGGAGATGCTCGAATTGGAGCTTGCCTGCTTCGCCCCCATTACGATAACTTTTGGCCCTATCGTACTGAGGTGCGTTGCAAGCC